TTTTGAACCAGTGGTGAAACCCATTCATATAAACACAGCATAGAAAGCTGTTTTGTTTTGTTCACTTAAAAGATCACTGCAGAAAACAATCTTTTTAAAGGTTTTAAAAATTTAAACGGTTTAAATTTTTAAAAGGTTTTACCTACAACCTTTAGATGTTGAGACCATTGAAAGTCAAGAAATAGTATCAGACTCAGTTTACTTCTTAGAATAATGTTTTAACTTTGAACAAAGTTCTCAAAATAGTGCCCAAATGCACAGTACTTGTTGAACAATTCAAATTTATTGAAAGTAAACATTTACATTGGCTACAACATTGTAACTGTTACAAAGTTGGATAAAATGGCTTAAATAGCAATAGAAAGCAAGTGCAGTAAAAAGTGAATAGAGAAAATATTTGGCCTTAGTTATCTTTTGGCAGTATTTACATTATGTACATGTTGTTAAATATTTGTGATAACTCTAAGGCACCATAGGCTAAATAGCAGGCTGCAGTACTATTTTGTGCACAAAATTCAATAAATTTATTTGGAGAAAAAAAAGGCTGTAGAATTGAAAGAAACATAGGCATATTCGTATGTTTACATAAAGAAGTAGCTGCTTTTTAAAATTCAAAGGTACAATACTTATTGAGTAAATTTAAAAATTATTTTTAGAACCTTAAATTATATTGAAGGTCTATGCAAAGACTATTTTTACTGACTTGCTGGTAAACGTTTAATGTAATCTATGCTTCAACATTTTTTTCACACACTAGATATGTTCATCTAAAATCTACTTGATTTTTTTTTTCCTCTACAAAAATCTTATACTTAAGGTATCATACTGCATACAAAATCCCAATGCAAAGTGTAACAGGTAATTTACATAGCAGCTGTCCATCAGTAGGCTAACATTTAGCAGGATTATAACAACAGCTCAACGTATTTGATCCCATTTGGTGTTCTCAGTGGCTGTTGCTTCAGCTAGTGAGCCCAGATGAAGAACTCCCATCCACGTGAGACACAAGGAGCTCAATGCTTTCGAATCTAAAGCTTTCGAAACCAAATCCTACAATTCAACCCACCAAAAAAAAAGCCTTCTTCCATAAAAGCTCCACTTTTTTTTTTAATTTATCCCCTTCTGAAGCACACATTTCCCTCCACAAGGAATAAGTGTGATCATTGTTACTGCCCTGACACATTAGACTCAAGATACTTGTTGGATGACTTCTGGGTCTGCACATATTTTAACAGCTCTTCAAACAAAAAACCTTATGTGCTTCAGTGAACAGGCTCATCTTTCACCTTGAGGTAGTGTTTGTAATGACGAAATTCAACAGGATGACAGACCAGTACCTCCCTCAGGTAGATAAAGGACTGTAGGACCCTAAATGCCACAGGGACCCCATCACAGCCGAAGGGGCACCGAAGGCAGCTCTGGGAGCTCTGGGAGCCCACCCGGCTCCATCTACGGGGCCTTTCCTGCCATTGCTCTTCATCACCTTCACCAACAAGGTTGCTGCTCACTCTGCAGCCTTTGTAGCAATAGTGCAGCCAAAGAGCACCTCAGTCCTGCTAAATTCCACCTAGGCATATGGACCTAAAGATGCACGGATCTCTACACCTAATGCGATCTCATTTGCAATGGGTCTTTGCTTCAGAAGCTATTAAAAATCTTACCATAGGAGTGAGAAATGACTAGTATAAAAAACAATACATCTGTTCTAGGGCCTAACCCTCAGCAACTTCACTGGCTGCTAAGCACAATGCAGGATCAGGCCCCAAACCCATATGTTTTGAAAATGCTAAGATTATAGAGTGCTTTTACAGATGTATAATTATCTCCATGTCAGTCATGACAAGTATTCTTTGTATTTGACTTATATTTACTAGAGTCAAGGAGAAATCCATTGGATACTGTTACCATATTTGTTTAGATTTTTTTATATGTACATTTTCTTTTTAAATCATGAATTTCTTCATTCAGTTGTCCGTTTCTGGAACTTTGTACCTATCAGTTTTGGAAATACACTAATTTCTGTAGTAAAAAGTGGTTTATAAACATAGTACATTATTTGATCTAAGCACAAAATCTTCATTTGGAAATGGTTGTAGATTTGCATTAACAAAAACATAATCTTAGCATTATTCATCAGAGACATTTTTAGTACTGATAGCTATAATATTAAAATTAGACAGCATCAATAACAGTTTTTCAAGGGCTTTAGAGAAAAAATACAAGCATAAACAAATCTGGTGTCATCGGCTAATTCCGGTAAAACATTAAGCAGAATATTAAACAGACTGCCCGTTCTATGTTAAGTAATATGGAACTAAAGACTCGGGTGATCAAAACAGAGTAGCATTGCTGAAGAAAATAGAGCTATACTGATTCATATTATAGAAGAACCCATATTGCTTAACCCCTTGAATGCTAAATATATGTCTGAATTTCAAGAAAGATTTAAAATATATATATTTTTAATTCCTTTCTCATACTTTAAAATATTCATAGAAGTATAAATATGGCAATTTATAATCAGAGTGCAGCATTAAGCTATTACAAAATAATTTTTCCATCAAACCATTTATATCCAGGGGTTTGAAATTTTGGGTAGTATTTAGGAAGAATTTAGAAAGTTTTCCCAGAAGTGTTCTAGGTTGCTCCATGTTGGATGGGGTTACAGCTAGGTAGATTTGGTCTCACGGAGGTTTCTACTGAGGCAGCTAAAAGAGTCTGAGGCTCTGTTTTTTTCTGTCAATTAAAAAAGTGAGTCTCTAGGAATGCTCTTACATACAGGAACAGCAGGAAGGGAAAACACTGTACAAATAAGACAGGGCCTCTGTTCAGATGACCTTGACTTTCACTTCTCATCCCATGATATCCTTGCAAATATAAGTATTTGGAAGAATTTGACACCTTGTGCACTCATGCACAGGTGCACCTGTACTTTTATGCAACACTGGGCTTGTGCCCTAGCACTACAACACCTCCGCCCATGGCCCAGGCTACTACAGTTTCCCTGCGCTCTGTGCCCCATCAGTGGGCTGCCTTTGCCCCACACTGTGGCTTTGCCCTCCCAATCCTTTCTCCTTCCATCCATTGCCTGGATGAGACCTGGGCTGTTTTTAGCTCCCTTTAGCTCCTATTTTTCCCTACCAACAAACCGCTTTCTATGGCAGAATTGCCCTGCTCCCTCAAAGGTTTGGCTTTCTCCCACTGTTTTGCAACTCCTGCACTCATCACCCCATGCCTTTTACTCTTTGCCACCCCTTTTCCACTACACTCTGGTCAGTCTCCTCAGAACTATTACCTCGAGTGGGCACCTTACATCAGAAAGGTACACTGCAGAGCTCTGCTCTCCTCCACACTTTTCCTTTTCTTCAGTTGAACCATTTAAAACAATCTTCTGAGAAGTCTTAAAAGATGGCAGAAATGTATTTTCTTCTCTCTTCCCTTTTTAGTGGCTGTACTTACAATGGCTCCATTTACGGCCAGTACCATGACACCACTATGCAAACCAAGGCTGACTCACTGTCATAGCTACAGTCCAGGTTTCTTCCTTCAAAGCCTTCAGTTGTGATCCTGCCACTTGGGACACATAAGATGACTGCTCACTTGGCTTCTCCTCTTCTCTCATGGTCATCCTTTGTCTTTTTTTTTTCCCTAAATTTTGAGGAGGCCTCTCAGAGTAGTGGGCAATCATCCCAGGGAGTCACTGTAGGGTATATTTGTGGGTTTGCTTCCTAATTTATTTTGGTATTTTGTAAGACATTGTGATTCAGCCACTAGCGGCAGGACACACTATGGAGAGATGGTAGTTCCAGCTTTGCAGCTCCACTCCTGAATTACGTTGATTTGTGCAGCTGCAAAACCTACTGCAGTCCCAATACAGAACTATTAATTTTAGATACACACAGAAGATATCAATTGCAGCACTGGTTCCCAAACTAGGGATCCACCAAATGTGAGTGAAAGCTAACAGAAATTCAAGAGCAAAGGGAGGATTTGCAAGCAGAATCAGCTTTACAGGTCCAGATGTGAAACCAGAATCGAGGTCATCAATAAATAAGTCTGGGATGCTAAAACCATCCCCAAGTATATGCTTCTAGTCCCAATAACACTATTTTACTTGCAGAGCATTTCAGTTACATCAGGGAATAAGGAAAGTCCATCTTGGACTAAAAAGAAGGAATCATGAACTAACAGCAAGTATGAAAATTATTCCTCTAATGTAGTTCTATTTAAAAGAAACAAATGCTAGTCCCTGTTGTTCTGTGATTTGTATCTTCAAGATCTCTATTATGAAAATGACATAGTAGAGAATTGAGGAAATAAACTCTCTGGTGGATTTTTTACCTTCCAAGATGGCCTGTACAAAGTGTATGGATAGCCAAACAAAACTTACTTAAGTTCTCCTTATTCAAGGATGTGGTCCTGCAAGCTGGCAATGGTGAGGGCCAAGGATGCTTAGAAGGGCACAAGATAAGCTTTATGGTTCAGGGACTGGGCTTCTTCATGTGTTGCCATCCTGCTCACTTGGTGGTAACCGTTTACTAAGAGAAAAACAAGTTGTCAGTGTAAAAGAAAGAGATTTGAATTTGTTCAGTTTGCCTTAGGAGGAGTAAATTAATAAAAATATTTCAGCAAGAGGAAATCAGTAAAATTTTACATTTGTTTGTATTTTCTAATGTACCAACAATCAACTCAAAGATAAAAATACTCTAATTCTGGTGTTACTTAAATATGTGGCTAATTAAAACCACAAGAGTAATCTCACTAAAGTAAAGGCAAAAACATTCACAAATCTTGTTAATCGAAGAAATTGCAAAATTAATATATACAAATCAAATCTTTAAAAAGGATATAGCTTCTAGATTTCTAGTTGCTTGCTGGGTTTGTATAATTATTAAATAGTTCAGTTACATTTTTTGAATAAATAGTTTTTTCCAGAGAGGATAATGAAACTAAAGATACACCATCAGTGCCATTATTTTTCATTTGCTTTCACTGATTAAGTCAAAAATTGTTTTAACCTTTGACTCTAAATCCTACCTGTACCTGTGTAAAATAAAATGAACCAAAGATAACTGCAGGCAACCAATCTCTTTAATTTACATGTTCCAGACAACCTTTTATTGTATTTAAATATGAGGATATTTTACTTATTGCAAAGTATCCTGCATAATACAGGTTCTCTGCTATAAAATCTTCTCTGTTGATTATAATTGAGTCATTCTAAATTTAAAATACCAGTATACAGTACTAAAACCTCCAATTGAAGAGTTTAATATAAAAATATCAGCACAAAACTCCTTTTTAAAGTCTGTTTATTGTGAGCAACCCAAATGCCTGTTTAATTATTATTAGTTGTAGTATATTAATAGACTTTGCACCCCTACAGTTGCTAATTCATACCATCATAGGTATTTGGATGAGATAAGAAATACTAAGTAAGAAAACAGTAAGTATTCAAAGGGTTAATTTGCTTAGAATAATAATAATAAATTAGTTTTTTTGCATCTTCATCAGTTCAAAATCCAGCTTTGAGACTGAGGAAGGCTTCCAAATCACATCAATTAAATAAGAGTGGTCCTTTCAACCAGTAGCAGTTTGATTGCCAATGACTCGAAGAATCTCTTTATGGATGCTTGGTTCCTGTGTATTTATACTTGTATCACCCACTTGACCATCTTCATAACTAAAAAGTACAGAAAATGGAATTTAATTAGTTTTTTTATTAATCTATCTTAAAAAAGGCACACACTGCCTAATTCAATAGTCTGAAGTGCATTGTTATCCCTAACTTACTCATACATTTCCTAACAACAGTAAATACAGAGATGAATTAAAAATATTATAAACAGTTCAGAAGAAACTTTTTTATTTATCATCTAATTCATTTAGAACTGTTGGAGGGAAAAACATGGGGGAAAAAAGCCTAGAAAAGAGAGAAGTTAAATGTTAAAAGAAGCTTTGTACTCACACAAAGAAAAATCTTGTACACACATGATCAGTATTGGGAACTACCCATATC